ATATATATATATATATATATATATATATATATATATACACATCACTGTATAGTCTGGCATAATGGAGCTTAATAAATGGGAGGTGTTCCTTGTATTTTTGTTTTAACCTAAACTGAGCCTTGAAGTGAGCTCTGTAGGCTATATGGAGTAAAGCTATCTCATTCACACTGTTAATAAAGAATTCAATACTGAGTTCCTAAGTGTTAGTCAGCTCTGAACTATGTGGGAGGCAAGGAATAAGATACCAAATGGCCGCTTGCTTTAAGAAATTTCTGGCTTTGTTCATGGGGTGACAGCATTTCACACATTTTAAATCGCAGAATGTAGTTTGTGGGGAAATAAGGTCTGTTCATGAAGCCCGGAGGCAGGAAGATAGACTAGATGGACAGGGAGGACCTAAAATGGACTGAGAGGGGTGTTGGCCAAAGCTGTAACATAGAAGAATTGAGCTGGGAAGAGGGTGACGCAGCCCACCCTGACCCCCAGCCCGATACGAGGATCACCTCCATGGGGTTGACGGTGATAGTCAGTGCAGAGTCATCCCAATCCATTTCGGTCTCCTTGGCAGCTTCAGTCTCTTGGATGAAGTGCTGGTGGGCAATCCGAACTCGGTACACACCCATGGCCACAACAAACACCAGCATGCACACGGAGATGATGATGATAACCGTGGCGATGCTTGGGACCACTGGAAAGAGGAAGGAACCCACACGACATGATGAAGGGCTAGCTCATTCTTGACACGACACATGAACAAAATATCCATGTAAAGATACAATTTGCCATCCCATTTCCCAGTGGTAGGACTTAGGGTCAGCACCTCAACTTGCCTGGGTTACACTTTCATCCTCTATATAGTAGACTTAATAATTCTTATCTTACAGATAATTGTGAGGAAAAAATGAAATAATCTGTTTGAGTTTCTGCATAAATACACAGTGGGTGTTCAATAAATGCATGTTCTCTTCTATCCCTGGCTTTTTGCATCAAACTATAGAAGAGATCCCACTGAAAGCCCAGTATTGTGAAGTGTAGTGGGAACAGGCACATGATGACATAACAAGTGCCCAAACAGAAGTATGAGCAGAGGACTTGGTAATAGGGTCTAAATGTGTGTATATAAGGGGGTCTGTGGAAAGCTTCCTACAGGACATAACTGTGTGCTGGGCCTGAAAGAACTATCCTAATGTGCTGGCCATTTGTATCATTTGTAACTTCTTGCTTACTTCACTGACTCCCTGTTGAAGCTATGAGTTCCTCAGAGGCAGGGTCTATGTCTTCTCCATTGCAGAATTCCCTCAGTTTGGAGCACCTATGACTGCTGCAACATATCTGTCTGTTTAGTGAATAACCTTGAGTCACAATGACCACCTTATATCCCGAGGCCCCTTCTCTTAGATGCCCTACCTGAAGTGCGCTGGATACTACTCCGGGATTCAGGGTGATGGACAGACTGGAGGAAGGGAGGCTGCACGATAAGGTGGCTGACATGTTCCTTGTCTGGGACTCTGACTTCATGTAGCACACTGACCTGAAAAGAGCAAGCAGAGGTGCTACTGACCAGGGTCACCAGGCAGGCCAGCTAAAATGGCTCTCTTGAAATAGTGAGGGAGTGAACAGGTGAGCCAGGGCTTCCCTAACAAGGCCAGGACCCACTCACCTCCAAGTTGAACTCGTTGCTAGTGTAGCGCCCATTGAGTTCTGAACACTTGATTCGGAACCGCCTTCCCTCAAGGGAGCTCGGGTGCCAGTTGCGGTAGCGGATGTGATGCAGCACCTGCTCATAGTGGCTCATGGAGCCCACGCCTGTGCCAAGAGATCACACTGTCATCAGGTGGAGCAGAAAGGAAAGGAAGAGGAGATGGAGCAGTGAGGCTAGGGCTGCTGGGGCTTGGGAGCTTTGTTCAGTAGGAGTTTGAGTTGTTCGGTGTAGACTGTGAGTATAACCTGTAGCTCTAAGGAGCCAATTCCAAAGGATTTCCATATAGATTTGGGGCATTTTCTTTGACTGGAATGTTTGTCCTCAATCTGCCAAACATTTTTTCTAATTATTTCTTCTTCTTCTTCTTCTTCTTCTTTTTTTTTTTTTTTTTTT